AAGACAGGATAGGCTCCAGATAAGACAGGATAGGTACCAGATAAGACAGGATAGGCTCCAGATAAGACAGGATAGGCTGTAGATAAAACAGGATAGGCTGTAGATAAGACAAGATAGGCTCCAGATAAGACAGGATAGGCTCCAAATAAAACAGTTTTACTTTCCCAATAGGGTGATTAATTGATTTATAGAATGAGTTGCTCTTGGCAGTAGTGTAGACCGGCACGTTACAAGAGTTTATGAGTGGAGTCAAATAATTTTTGGGAAATATAGGGTGTGTTTAAGTTTTACTTTTCCTCAATGGTGGGTGAGTGGTCTGTTGTTGCCCATTTGTTATATTACATTTTTTTTAGACAAAAAGTTTCTATGTTTTATAACTATAATATTTAACAGGTTTCCCAGTTGACCATACGGTAGGATAAGCCATAATGTTTCTAATCTTGTGGTGATCTAACTTCCAAACCATTGTAAGAGGATTTGAAAGTCAAAATCAAAAATTACCATTAGCATGATGACCAACGATTATGTCCAATTACAATCAGTGGACAATTAAGGATTATTTTGACCAGTATTAAAACACCATACGTAACATTTAAGCCAGCAAGAGCGAAGTATTATGAGGATATTATTTTCTTTTTTTTTGTGAGGTCACTACTCGTAACAACTCTTCAACAGCCTCCACAGTTTGGCTCTTCAACTGGCCGAGAAATTAAACGCTCCTGCAGGGGTTTTCGAAACAGCCCCTATTGATGCGAAAGAATAAGACCAGCTGAAGGAAGTAGAATTTTCACCGAACGATAACTCCAGGTTTGTCAGATATACTCAACAGTATATAACGTGTTTACAATTAATATATTCAACAGTATATAACGTTGTAAAAAATGACTGTAAAAGCAATTAAAAAATATGTTTATTGTGTTTCTAACATCATTTTAGCCAACTCGAAGCAAAGTTTGTATTTTAGGTACACTTCGTAAATTAAAAAATTAACGGGCGAACACTATCTGTACATAATATGACTTATCAATAACGGATATATCGTTTTTTCAAAGCCTGTCAGTTCTAACTTCACGCATGCGTATTTGGGGTAAATTAGAACGAAAACAGTTGGCGTTTCTCCTATGCTTCGGCGTCAGTAAAGCCAACAATGGAAGAGCTGTGTGTTTTACAACTATGAATGGTTTTTACTTTTGCTACGGACATTTTTAGAGGGCATATTCACTGAATAAAGGGCGGACGTAGGCTTATATTTTACCGATATTATTAAGGGGTCGGTGTGGGTTAAAGGTTAATTAATTATTGATTACAAAGATCTTGGTTTTGTACCAGTGTTTTTTTTTTTGTGAATAACTGAAGAGACTGGGTGCCACCATTCACAGTAACGAAAATTAATTTTATAGATGTTATGAATTTTTGATTTTTTTTTCAAAGAAGGAATTTATTATTACTACATATATATATATATAAGGGTCAGTTAGCTGTCTCAATTTTTTTCGGAAAAACATTAAATGAAAAAAGGCTACCGTATCTATGCATGATATTTTTATAAACCACTAACTTTTCTGATTTAAAGTATACTTCGTTGTCTTAGTTGCGGCACAGAAACATGAGAGACAAGAATTATGTTTGAATTTCTTACTGATAACTATCAAGTATGTATCACGAGTATGTTATTCCAGTGGTTTGAGTCAGAGGAACTAATCGTTTTTATATCAAGTGGCTAACAAAGGACGCAGTAGTTTGTATATTAAGTGACCAACAACAGGACATAGCCGTTCTTATATTACGTGACCAACAACAGAACATAGTCGTTTGTATATTAAGTGACCAACAACAGAACATAGTCGTTTGTATATTAAGTGACCAACAACAGGACATAGTCGTTTGTATATTAAGTGACCAACAACAGGACGTAGTCGTTCTTATATTACGTGACCAACAACAGAACATAGTCGTTTGTATATTAAGTGACCAACAACAGAACATAGTCGTTTGTATATTAAGTCAACAACAGAACATAGTCGTTTGTATATTAAGTGACCAACAACAGAACATAGTCGTTTGTATATTAAGTCAACAACAGAACATAGTCGTTTGTATATTAAGTGACCAACAACAGAACATAGTCGTTTGTATATTAAGTGACCAACAACAGGGTGCAATCGTTCTACATTAAATGATCACTAACGAGTTGTTTTTGAATTAAAAATTGGGTCATTTACCGAAATCTCTGTGAGCTAGTTTAAGCTTCAGAGATAGAACCTGTTTGTTCTTTGTTATTGGACGTTGGTTTTCGTGCTCACCGATGGCCCAGTGGCAAGTCTGAGGGCTTATAACGCTAAGAATAGAACCAGATATGTTATTGTATAGCTTCGGACCTACAACAAACAAACCAAAGTTCGTAAGTCACATGCCTAACGCGTGTTTGTCGATAATACAACAAAAAACCCTGACAGGGATTTAGTTTTTAAAGTAA